GGAAGGGGGCGGGGCCGGTGACAGGAGCAGGCCGTGAGTTGGCACTGGAGGGGCCTGCTAGCTGGCCCAGTGACGTCATCGGTAGACATTTCTGGGGTGTGCCAATCCAGCGTCCGCCCGTTCCAGCCATCCCTGGCCTCCCAGTGTCCATGTGTCCGTCTCCCACCTGCTCTATTTCCTTTCTAGAAAATCAGCTGGAATTGTTTTCCTAGAAAGAACAGGGTTCCCCCCCTTTAAAAGAGGAACTGGGGTCACTGTCGCAGTTGAAGGAAACCTCCCATACAGTTAACTCTGGGGCCACACGACCACCTGCCTGGAACCCCGAGGGGTAGCTGTTCCCTCCTTGAGGACGTGGGAGGTGAGCGAGGTGAGCGTTCAGGACCTTCTCCAGGAGCTCATCAGCAGGCGTGAAAACCGCCTCCTTGGTGCGGTACGTGACCGTCCCCCATGAGCGGTGCTTTCTCACCACCCCTTGCCCCCCACCCCACACAAACCTGTCTGGGCCCAGAGTTGTAAGGAAATACCTAAAGTAAAATAATATTTCACTTCTCAGTTTAGCAGATGGGTGTTGAGCCCCCGGCAGCAAGCAGAGCACTGAGTGGGTTTGGGGACACAGCAAGCTACATCCCTGCCCTGGGGAAGCTGCTCCAGTGAGGCTGTTTTACAGGTGACTTTCTACTGGGTCGGGCCAGCTGTCCTGAGCCTCCTGGCCAAGGTGGCCTGTGGCAAGTGGAGGGAAGAACCAGCTTTGTGTTATGAACTGAGCAGGAATCCTCGGGCCCCAGAATGGAGAGCACCGGTCATGAGCCCACACACCCTCCCGAGAAAGCCGGGGCCTGCTGAGCCTGGCGGGTTACCTGCAGGTTCTGCCAGGCGTGACGCCTCCAGCTGGCAGGGCTGGAGGTGGGCTCTGCGAGCCTGCCTTAGCCTGCGGGCTGGCACTCGTTCAGCAGTCGGCAAGAATGGGCTGCGGCTAGGGGGCACGGTGGAGCACCAAAGCTGGCGAGGGCCGCGATCACTCCCCAGGCTGCTGTTATTGCCAGGGGCTCAGAGGGCTGGTAAAGCCCCTCCAAGGAGAGACCCAAAGGACAGCTAGGCCTTCCTAAGTGACCTCTGATTCAAGATCTGAATGATGAGCTTCCAGCCAAAACAGTCTCGGAAGAGAGGCCCAGGCAGAGGCCAGAGCAAGTACAAAGGTCCTGGGGCAGGATGAGCCAGAGCATTTGCGAAATGAGGAAGCCAGTGCCTAAAGGCAGGCAGGCTGAGGTGAGCGAGGGAAGAGGGCAGTGTAGTGGGCTAGTAGGGGCAGTCGTGAAGAGTCAGGCCAAGTAAGGGACTGGGGTTGGTTCTGAGCGCAGCTGGAAATGCCTGGGCAGTTTTCGGTAGAGGAGATAGGATCTGCTCGCCGCGGGGAAGCTCCAGCTCCGTTTCCTTCCCCTTTGGCAGGACGGCGATAAGAGCTGCATAGACCTCCTTCTCATTCTCAGCCCCTAGGGACAGAGGCTGAGGCAGGTGTGGGTCACCAATTGGAAGCACTGGGGGGGGCTGCTAGGTGATTGAGCTCACAGTTCCTGGGCAAAAACCACCATTGCCTGGTAGCCTCTGTCCTGGTTGCCTCTTACCGTCCTAACAAATTAGCACAACCCGAGTGGCTTCAGGCAGCAGAAATGGGCTCTCCCAGTGTGGGAGGCCAGAAGTCCGAAAGTGAGGTGTCGGCAGGGGTGTGCCTCCTGCCAAGGGTCTGGGGGGGGAAATTCTTCCATGCGTGTCCAGCTCCTGGTGGCTCCAGCAGCTCCCCAGCTCCCCATGCACCCAACTTAGCATGGCCTCCCTCTGTCTGTCTGTGTCTCCTTCACGTCTCTCTCCTATAGGGACACGTCATTGGACCTAAGGTCCACCCAGGTAATCCAGAACCATCTTCTCACGAGATCCTTAATTCAGTCACACCTGCAGGGCCTTCCCTGTTACCAAATCAGTTCACATTCACGGATTCTGGAGTTACAGCACAGTCCTATCTTTTGGGGAGCCACCATTCAGCCCACCGCAGACCCTGAGAACTACAAGGAAAGAGGGCGAGGAGACCCGAGGCTAACTCTAGAAGGAAGAAAGGATTTCCATGGAATGCTTCCCTTAAATCCGCTCTGCATTCAGGCACCTGCTCCCTCTTCACACTTCTGCCTACCTACTGCGCGTTGCACACTGTGGTGGTACAAAGAATTCACCACTGAGCAAAGCACACGGCCTCTACCCACGTGAGCCCAAGGCCCGCACATAGTAGGGCTCCCACACATGTCTGCTTCCTTCCATCCTAAGGGCCTGACTGCTTAGCTTACAGCCTCAGTGAGGAACAAGAGTAGGCGCGTGAGAAACCCGACCTGGGTGTGGGCGCTCTGGAAGGCCAGGGGGATCCCAGGAGGCTCCCCAGAAGAGGTGTGGCTAGACTGAGGGGTTGGACTTGGGGGAGGCAGGAAGTAGGTTCTAACCTCCACGAACCACGTGGGCAGAGGAAGCCAGGGAGGTTCCTGGTGGGGACAGATGCAGGGCGTTTCTGCTGAGACGTGGTCGGGCAGAAGGTTGGCGTGACCAGATTTCAACAAGACTCAACAATTCTTGAAAAAGTTCCAAATAAAACCTTTCATCTTCCCTCAGTGTACGTGATGGTTGCCCCCCCCAAAAAAAAAAAAAATCGCTGTGTATGTTAATACTGTATAAGGAACATTGTGGTTTGGGACCAGCATATGGCCTAATGGTAGTCGCTGGATTCCCACGTAGTCTGGGTCCAGACCCAGTGACTTAAAACTCACACTGGGCACGTGTGTGTGCATGCCCAAAATCCCCCCAGGGGGTGATGTCTCGCTTTCTGTCTCTGCCTGTTGTCTCTAGGGCAAGCACCTGAGCCCTATGGCAAAAATCCATTAAAAAAGAGAGAGAGAGAGAGAGAAAAGAAAAGAAATTCTGTTTTTATGTAAAACAGAGTTCCCTTCTAGGCTCAGATCATTGATCAGCAGGTTGTGCCACTTGAACATCCAATGGGACTTGGGACCCAGGATATGCCCCAGATGTTCCCTGGAGCCTCCTCTATGAGGCGCGGAGCCTGAGGTCCTGCGGGCGTTCCCAGGAGCTAGATGCCTGCTGGCCTGGCCACGCCCACCCAGACTCACCCTGTCCCCACACTTGCAGGGTCCATGCAGGTGATGAACAAGACGCGGCGCATCATGGAGCAGGGCGGGGCGCACTTCATCAACGCCTTCGTGACCACGCCCATGTGCTGCCCCTCACGCTCCTCCATCCTCACCGGCAAGTACGTCCACAACCACAACACCTACACCAACAACGAGAACTGCTCCTCGCCATCCTGGCAGGCGCAGCACGAGAGCCGCACCTTCGCCGTGTACCTCAACAGCACCGGCTACCGGACAGGTGAGCGCCGGCCCACGGGGCCGACGGGCGGGTGGCAGTGGGACTCGCCTGAGACCTGGGTGTGGTCTTGCCTGAGACCTGGGTGTGGTCTTACCTGAGCTGACTCTTGTTGGTGCTTAGAGCAACTTCCGTTTTGTTTCAAAGTTGTGCGTTTTTATCTGTATTAGAAAAATATAGATTTCTTTGCATATAGTAGCCATATTAAGTGACCTTTTCGAAGGAATTTGAGTTCTCCTCCAGGGAAAAAAAACAAAAAGGAGTCCCTCTATCTAGTACGGACTTCACAAAGTACCCATGCATGAGTTTGAGTATTCTCTTAATCGTTATTAAAGCCAGTGGCGGGACCAGCAGTTGGCGTAATGGCTATGTCACTGGACTCCCATGTAATCAACCATGGTTCGAGTCCTGGACCCAGTGGATTAAACTCACGTGAGGTGCGTGTGCGTGTGTGCCCCAGATCCCAAGAGAAGAAGGGATTGCAGCGTGGCCATCTCCCCTGGGGAATAATTTCTCACTTTCTGTCTGTCTGTCTTTCTCTGTCTTTCTGGCAAGTACACACACCCTAAAGCAAAAAACCTCTCCAAAATAAATAAATAAATAAAATAAAGCCAGTGGGGACCATCTGAATGGAAGAAAGTTCCAGAAGAACATTGGGATGGGGGGCGGGAATTAAAATTGGTGTGGACAATACAGAGGAGTACATGTTGGGGCCGTGTGGCCGCCCTCTCTGTGGGGTAACCAGGATGATGCAGTAGTTGACGTGACTGTCACCTTTGCCCAGTGAGCAACCTCTCTCCGGTGGGGCAGGCGATGTCGCATCTGGGGGAAAGCAAGCCGGGTACCCGTTTGCTCATGCTGCAGGAGTCCTCCGGTGGGTTCTTGTGCTCGTGCTGCAGGAGTCCTCGGGTGGGTTCTGGACCTGCCAGGCGGGTTGCCCAGGTGGAGATGCAGTCATAGCCCCACTGCAGGCTCCTCCAAACTCTGTTTCACTTAAACTCTGTTCATTTAAAAACAGTAAATGCTCCCCACCTTGGGTAAGGAGCCCAAGCGGTGTGAAATCAGATAGTGTGGTTCAGATGTTGCAACCCGGGAAGCTGTGACAAGTGACAAGAGGTTTGTTTGGGCGGGAGTGACGGGAGCGAAGGACAGACACCTCTCAGCTCTGTTCGCGGCGATGCCACTGTGATGTTAGTGAGGTGTGTGACATTCACTGTACAGACCAGTGTCTATTGACGAGAAAATGACAAAGACTCACTTGGTTTGTCATGACCCATATAAGAATGTATTGATGTATTAAATTTTCATCCCCCCGGGGACCATAGATCAGTCGTTCCTGCTGGGCCTCGAAGCATGTTAAGCCCTTTATTCCTATGGACATCTAGGGGGGTTGGTTGAGTTGAGCTTAAGTTTGGCTCTGAGTGTGTCAGAGATCAACCGTCTATTACCCTCTCAGTTAAAATTGCACGCTGCTTTGGTGACCCTGCTTGCGAACTGTTCAGACTCTGACTGTATCTCTCCTGACTTTGCTTCCCGCTGGTGAGAAACAAGTCACGTGGCCACAGGTGGCCACAAAGGATCCGGGGAAATGCAGTCTCAGTGTTAAGTGGTCATTTGCCCAACTGAAAAGTATTACACGGTAGGAGAGAAAGAAAATGGATACCGGAGGGAAAATTAAAGTCTTGGCCTTGATAATCGTTCATCGCCGCCTGTGTTTGTGACGCCAACCTGAACTGAGGAAGACTGACACCAGAAAAAAGTTATTTAAGTAGACCAACATTTCATAATAAATAGTGGTTTTAGTGTATTTAGTTAGGTATTTTATATTTTAAAATGAAGCTACAGGGACCAGAAGATGGAGTAATTGGTTACATAGCCAACCATGGTTCAAGTCTTGGACCCGACGGCTTAAAACTCACACCCAGTGTATGTACGTGCATGTCCAAAATCCCAAGAGGAGAATG